GGGAGTAGAAAGCCCCGAGGCAGCTGGTGGTTTCAAACTGCTGGCTTTGCAGATCACAGCCCAATTCATAACCACTATGCCACGAGGGCTCCTTTCACTAGGCACTAGGTAAGGCTGAATTTCCACATGGAAATGCTGGTGCCAGATCAGTGTGAACGTCTGTCCCAACTCCTGACACACATGGGCCTTGTGGCCCATGACAGGACGAGTGCAGGCAGAGGACCCCAGACTTGGCTGCTCCAAGTGCTCCTGGCCTGTCTCTTCCCACCATCAGTGCACTTGTTGGTGTCCTGCCTGAGCAGGCCCCTAGTGCTGGCTCACAGGAGACATCCTTGGCAAAGGCTTGAGGACAAACCCACAGGCGTGGGGGAGAGACCCAGTGTTTCTCAGAGAGAGCCCCAAACTGTTTCTCAGGCAAGCAGTAAGATCCCCCAGCTTCAGTTGTGGAAAAGTCTCTGGGCTTCAACTGGAAAGATTGCTACTGCTATCACTCCAGTCTTTTACCACCAAAACCTAAAAAACAAAAAAAACCACCATCACCACCATCAAGTTGGTTCTGACTCATAGCGCCCCTATAGGTCAGGGTAGAACTGACCCTGAGAGTTTCTGAGACTAACTGTGGTAGTAGAAAACCTCATCTTTCTCCCGTGGAGCGGCTGGTGGTTTCGAACTGCTGACCTTGTGGTTAGCAGCCCAATGTGTGGCCATGACTTCTCCGAATTCTTGTTCTCACTTCTTCATAGGAGAATGGCAGGCACCATCTTTCTCCCACGCAGTTTCTTTCCTTTGTTCAGGTACTTCTTGTTGGTTGCCTTGAGAGTTGATTCTGTTTATGTAGACAACAAAATACACACAACCCCCCCCACCCCGCTGCTCCCGAACCACTTACATTGGGGAATTTAGCTCACTCTGTCAAGAACCTACCAAACTTGTTGGGTTCAGCAGGAAAGGTAGAAGAGGTTCAAAAGCCAGATCTTGTGAAGTTGCTTTCCAAGAGGTCTTTCTCCTGGATTCACAGGTTCACCTGGGGCAGTGTTTGATAGTTCTCTCCTCCCCAACGAGCTCACTGAAGTCACACAGAACTATGGAAATTCTGACTCCCTTAAAGGCTATTTCAGGGGCCGGTAAACTGGGGCTCAAGGTGGGGGAGGAAGGGGAAAAAAGAGGAGCTGATACCAAGGACTCAAGTAGAAAGAAAAGGTTTTGGAAATGTTGATTGAGTGCCCCCCCCACCTCCAGCCGTAAAATGATTAATAAAATAAAAACCTTATGTGGCTCCTTTTGGTACATACATGTGGTTCTTAGATAAAATTGAAAACGGAAACAAAACTCGTCGTTTCATTACTATTCATTTAATATTTCACATTGTATTTTCCTTCTTTGTAAAACTATATTTACGGCTCTTAAATAATTTTTAAATTGTTGTGACGTGTAAGATTAGCTCTTTGGTCCCAAAAGTTTGCCGGCCTGTGGGCTATAGTTCTCTCTGCGTTCACTCACCCTCCTGACTCTTCTCCATCACCATCCCCTGGAAAGAATCCCTAGAGGCTTTTGGCCTCCTTTTGAGAAAATCCAAGGGCCAGGGCGCCCAGGGCTTGCGTTAAACTCAGGCCTGGGGACAGGGTAATAGAAATGGGACAGCAGGCTCCCGTGGGGCCGTCCCCTCCAGTACTCAGAATCTGCGAGAAGAGGGAAAGGACGGGAAGAGGGTCTGTCTTCAGGTCCTCCGACTGCCAATCTTTAAAAAGATAAGCGCTAAAGGAGGGTAAATGGGGATGGGAAAAGGCGCTGACCGCCCAGACAGGACTAGAGAGGCGGCGCCGAGCACCTAGCTACATGCCCGTAGGCGCGTCTGGCGGACGAGGAGGGCGGGGCAGTCCCCGCGGGCCCCCAGCCAATCAGAAAGGCGCCTCGCCTTGCCTGGGGACCTTCCCCGCCTCGCAGCCGGCGAGGTGGGAGGGGCGCTGTGAGAGCGCGAGCTCTCTCCGCCAATCGCAGCGCGGTGAGGGTGGTGCCTCTGGAAGCTGGGGGCGGGGCTGTCTCCTTGGCAACGATCCCAGCCCGCCCCGAGGCGGGAGGGCTAGGAGTAGCAGGGAAGCGAGGGGAGCTCGGCTGCGGGGGCAGGATGGGCAGGGGGCCCAGGCTCTAGGGCCTCCAAGCGTCCGAAGGAGGTCTGTCCACGTTCCCCGGGTGTGGCCGGAGTTGACCTCCGGGCCTGGGCGGGGAGGGGAGCTAGCGGCCGCCCCCGCTGGCGCCGGGAAGCGTCGCTCCTTCTCGCTGACCTTGGTATCGCTTGTCACCTCGTCCTTGGCCGCACGCGCTGACATACGAAGGGTTCGGGGTGCAGACCGACGGGCTCCTGGACTGGCAGCGACCGAGAGCATGGGCGCACCAACGGCCCCAGCCCGGCCTGCTGGCCCTGGGGCGACGCGTCGGCCCCCGACCCGACGCTCGGGCCATCCAGCCCAGGGTTAATGCCAACGAGTTTCCACCTCCAGCCGCTCCTAGAGAGGCCGCGGCGCTAGCCAGCGGGGGGAACTGGCCGCGGACGGACACTTCCTGTGCGCGGGGAGGGCAGTCGGACCGCCGCAGCCCAGCCCGGGCTGGGGGGCCTGCTAGGGGGCTCGGGTGGCGAGCAGCGTCCCGGGAGGCAGGGTCAGTTGTGAAGCCCCGCTCGTCCGAGGTCACGACGCGTGGGGGCCGTGGGGCCCGCGGGGTCCGCAGGCCAAGCCCGGACCTTGCCAGGGGGCGGGGCCGGGGGCCGGGAGGGAAGGAGGGGCCCGGCGGGCGGGAGAGGCCCAGGGTCAAGACGTCCGGCCCCGGGGGCCCGGGCTGGCCGGCCAGGTCCCTGGGCGGCGCTGGGCGAGCGGGTGGCGAGGGCCCGACGCTCGGGGCACTCAGGCTGGGTCTCGGGATCGTCCTCCATCGCCGCTGCTGCCACCAGGGAGCCGGCGGGGATGGAGCGGGAGGCGTCGCCCTGGGGCCTGGAGCCCCAAAATGTGCACAGTGCTGATGAAACGGGGAGCCTCGAAGAGTCCCTCAAAGGTGAGGGAGGGGTTGCCCCTTGGAGGAGCGTGCGCGAGAGAGGGAGAGGGCCAGTGGTTTGTGGGAGGGGAGGAAGGCCTAGGGTTTGGACCCCTGGGTGGGTGGGGGCTGGGTGGCTTGGGTGGGCTGAGGGAGTGGGGGTGGAGGGTGGCAATTTCAGCACCTTCCTAAAGGTTCAACCTGGGGTGGGTTTTCTGTAATCCTCTGATCCTGCAGGCGACCTAAGTGACCGTGAGGAAGAGGAAATTTCTCAAGATGGTCCTGGGGACTACGAAGTTGAAGAGATACCTTTTGGACTTGAACCCCAAAGCCCAGAGTTTGAGCCCCAAAGCCCCAGATTTGAGCCTGAAAGCCCTGGTTTTGAGTCCCGAAGCCCTAGGTTTGTGCCCCCAAGCCCCGAGTTTGCACCCAGAAGCCCAGAATCAGATTCTCAGAGCCCAGAGTTTGAACCCCAGAGCCCGGGCTTTGAACCCCAAAGCCCCGGCTACAATCCCAAGAGCCCCGGCTACGAGCCCCGGAGTCCAGGGTACGAGCCCCAGAGTCCTGGATATGAGTCCCAGAGCCCAGGGTATGAACCCGAAAACCCTGAGTTCAAAACCCAAAGTCCCAAAGCTGAAGCTCAGAGTTCTAAATTCCAGGATGGGGGGGCAGAATTGCTTCTGAACCCCGAAGGAAATAATTCCTTGAGCATCCCCTTGGGAGTCCACCCACTGGACTCCTTCACCCCGGGGCTTGGGGAGCAGCCCGCGGGGGACCTGCCCCTAGGGCCACCGTTTGAGATGCCCACGGGCACGCTGCTGACCCCACCGCAGTTTGAGATGCTGCAGAACCCCCTGAGCCTGACAGGGGCCCTTCGGGCTCCCGGCCGGCGTGGCGGCAGGGCCAGGGCCGGAGAAGGGCCGCGCCCCAACATCTGCGGCATCTGCGGGAAGAGCTTCGGGCGGGGCTCCACCCTGATCCAGCACCAGCGCATCCACACGGGGGAGAAGCCCTACAAGTGCGAGGTCTGCAACAAGGCCTTCTCCCAGAGCTCCGACCTCATCAAACACCAGCGCACCCACACGGGGGAGCGGCCCTACAAGTGCCCCCGCTGCGGCAAGGCCTTCGCCGACAGCTCCTACCTGCTCCGCCACCAGCGCACCCACTCGGGCCAGAAGCCCTACAAGTGCCCGCACTGCGGCAAGGCCTTCGGCGACAGCTCCTACCTCCTGCGCCACCAGCGCACCCACAGCCACGAGCGCCCCTATAGCTGCCCGGAGTGTGGCAAGTGCTACAGCCAGAACTCGTCCCTGCGCAGCCACCAGAGAGTGCACACCGGGCAGAGGCCCTTTAGCTGCGGCATCTGTGGCAAGAGCTTCTCGCAGCGCTCGGCCCTCATCCCCCATGCCCGCAGCCATGCCCGCGAGAAGCCCTTCAAGTGCCCCGAATGTGGCAAGCGCTTCGGCCAAAGCTCGGTGCTGGCCATCCATGCCCGCACCCACCTGCCGGGCCGCACCTACAGCTGCCCCGACTGCGGCAAGACCTTCAACCGCTCCTCCACGCTGATCCAGCACCAGCGCTCGCACACGGGCGAGCGGCCCTACCGGTGCGCCGTGTGCGGCAAGGGCTTCTGCCGCTCCTCCACGCTGCTGCAGCACCACCGCGTGCACAGCGGCGAGCGGCCCTACAAGTGCGATGACTGTGGAAAGGCCTTCTCTCAGAGCTCTGACCTCATCCGCCACCAGCGGACCCATGCGGCTGGCCGGCGCTGACCTGGGACCCTGCGGGGGGGCGGGGGGCCGGGGGGCCGGGCCGCATGGGAGGTCATGGGTGGACCAGAAGGGAGCAGGGAGCTAGAGGAAGAAACTTGGCCACCAGTGGAAACGCTGCAGAGGATCGAGGCGAGGATTCTAGAAGCCGCAGGGGCCAGCCTGGAGGAAGTTACACACCTTGGCAACTCCTGGGAAATGGGCTATGAAGAGGAGCTGGGGGAGCGCCAAGCAGGCAGCCAGAGGCTTTGGGAGGGATCCAGAAAGGTCAGCAGAGAGCTTTCCTGGCCTCGGCAGGAAAGTACCCCTTGGTGGGTGCCTGGCTTGGCCCAGTGTTAGGAGGGGGTGGGGGGAGGGAGAGGGTGGATTACTTCCTTAGAGTAGGGTAGATTAGACCCTCCCTGAGTCAGCAAGTGGGTAAGAGGGTAGGTGGGGTGGGGAGTGGTGCCCCAGGGTTCAACCCCCAACCTCCCCTGTCTTTCTCAGGCTTTGGGGGCCCCTGCATTTTGAGTTCAATAAAAAAACACACCAAAAAAAACCCCTTGTGGTAAAAGAAATTTGTCCTTAAAATGTCTGCATGGGCAGTGCCCTGGGCAGCGGGTGACTTGAGGTCAGAACTGAGAATAGTCAAAAGGCGCCCCAGGGCCTTGTCTGGGAAGAGGGCACCGTGGTCAGTTCCTCCTTGCGGCCCAGGCCTTTCCCAAAGCGAGAGAGCGAGTGAGCGCACCCTGGAATTCTGAAACTTGGAGGGCACACTTTGCCCACATCTGCCCAGGTCCTTCCCCTGCCTGGGAGGCAGCACTAACAGAGGGCAGGCCTAGTGAGGAAGTGTGAGACAGCCCACCTATTGGCAGGGATCTCCCTCCTCATTGGTTAGAGTTAGACCTTCAAGCAGAGGATTTGTCCTTGGGGCAGAAAGCAGACCCAGATTCTCATACCCAGCTAAGAGGTCCCATTTCCCCTCTGCTCTCAGAATCAGCTCTGCTGCAGTGGGTGGGATTTGGTTTCCTCTTCTGACCCAAGACGTGCCCTTCCCTGGAGCGTCTAGCCATGGCGTGAAGACCTAGCGTGAGGCTCACACCTGAGCCTTGAGGAGTGCCTGTAATTCCAGTCCCACCCATGGTGAGTAAATGTTTGGGTATGCGGTTGGATACAAACTTAGGTCCTTAAGACCCACTAGGACTGGGGGTGAAGCAAACCCACGCAGGGCTCAGTTTGCTTCAGCTCAGCCTGTGTTGACTCCTGTACGTATTTGTGGGAGGAGGCTGAGTGGTGCCTCCATTAAAAGCACTCAGGTGCTATCCACAAGGTCAGGGAACCCACTGTGGGAAGTAACCTTCTTCTGGGGAGATTGGAGACTCCACGGGGCAGTTGTACTCTGATCAAGAGCATCACTAGGAATCAGACTTGATTCCAGTCTGTCGTTACGTGCTTGTGAGACTCCCCTTCCATCACCCCGCCTTGATCCCGAGTTCCTCTTCCATTCAGACCCGGCCCCCTCTGAACACTTGGTCCTTCAGGGAAGGGCAGGGTTCATCGAGGAGTCAGAGGGCTTCTGGAGTGTGTCCTCTTGTGATCACAGCCAAGGAGGACAGGATCCCTGGCCACCTGGCACATCCTGAGATGTAGACCAGCTAAGGGCCTGGCAGCACCCCTTATTTGATGTGTCCAGCAATCTGACAGAAGACGTCTTCATCGGGTTGCACACTTGAGAAGCCCTTATGGCGTCGTGGGTTAGGAGTTGGGCTTCTCATTGGAAGGTCAGCAGTTCGAAACCACCAGCTGCCCCTCGGGAGGAAGATGAAGGGAACAACTGTTCTGTGGAGGTGCTAATGAATCGGAATCGACTTGCTGAGGGTGCGTTTGGTTTGACTGCCTCGGAGCTCCCGGGGAAACGGGCTCTCAACTCAGGAGTCCCTCTGTGGCCAACTGTTTCCTCACCTCAGCTCGGCCCAACGGGGTAATGACGGGACTTCTGGCTCTGCAAGTTTTCACCCCCACCCCCACCCATCTTCAAAAACACCCAGTGCTGCAACTGAGTTGATGTGGACTCCTAGCGACCCTGTAGGACAGGGGAGAACTGCCCGGTGGGTTCGTTTCCAAGACTAACTCTTCACAGGAGTAGAAAACCTCACCTCTCTCCTGCTGGCGGTTTGTACTGCTGGTGAAGGGAGGCCCTTATCATTTGTAAAGAGCAAGTCGCTGAGCTCAGGCGTCTTATCCCCACCCCTCCTCGGCCTGCAAGCTCTGGAAGCAGCCTGAGGCATCAGGTCTTTCACTGCAACATAACGTGGCCAGTTTAATAGTGTCAAAGTTTAAGTTCTCTTTAGGAAGCAGACTATTTTTGTTCCACAGGGAACTCTTCATTTTATTTATTTGTAAGCCCTTTTGTGGACTTGACGCACGGTTTTTGGACAGAGGCTCTACCTGCTTCAGTTATGAAGACGTACACCTCCCACCCTGAAGATGGGTCCCGGTTGTAACCGTAGCACTGCAGTGGACTACCTGACCCGAGGGTTCATTTGTAGACTTTGATGTCAATTATGCAATTGCATCAGAGGTGGGTGTTGTGGTTGTTTCCATGTTCCCAAACATGGTTTGTAGCTCCTTGAAAGCTAGTGGCCCGTGGGGACAGTGCAGTCAGTGGCCAACTTGATCAAACGGCCTGTGGGCACTGAGCTTCAGAGTGTCAATCAAGACCAAAGGAGGGTGGGGGCTCAGCTGTGGGGCCCTCGCCCTCTCTCCCGTGAAGACTCCTGAGCTACCTTCAAAGCCCAGATGGGGCAGATCAAGCCCATGTCTTCACCGAGGTCACCACCTGGCAGGCAACGGATGAGCTAGGACACCCACCCAGGTCTCTGGGTGCACGGCCCAGCACGCTGTTTTCTGCTCCACTGCCTGGCCCGACCACCATTCTGGTCCACCGTTATCCTAAGTGCTGCTGCCGTGTCCTGTCACCCTCCTCACAGCTCCAAGCTGTGTGCAATTACTGTTCTCATTCACCCACGAGCACATAGGCACAGCACAACAAGGAACGTGCCTGAGCCCGTGGAGACCCTTCTTCTAACCAGACCGGGGGTTCTGCTCTTCACTTCCGTTCCTACACGGACGGCGTGTTTGAGAGACCACATGACATGGAATGATGGCTCGTGGGGTGGGGCTGGTATGTTCTTAGGTTGTATAATTTTCATTTTCTCTAATTTCCGATGTACTAAATCTCAACAGCTGCAAGAGAGCCTCAGAACAGCTTGGGAGAAATGCCATGATCTTTCAATTCTGTTTTCCCACCAGCTTTTCCATATAACCCACCTTGCATAACCCATCTAAACACAAAACTCTTTTGGGACTGCTTGATGATTTTTAGAATAGGAAGGCATTCTGAGACTGACCTATTTGAGATCCATGAATTAAACATTAGTGAATACCTCCTACCTACCATTTCCAGTGAGGGGCCAGGTCTTGGGGTGCACCTGCGAGTGAGGCCTGGATCTTTGTCCATAGAAAGGAAGATGGTCAGACAGTGCCCCAGGGAGGTGTAAACAACGTGCTGATGGAATGAGCATCTCAGGAGAGGGGAGAAGGGAAAGTGAGAGAAAGAGAGGGGAGCCCTGAGCTCCTGGGCAAACTCCAAGACCCCCATTTGGAGGACCCGAGAAGTCGAGCTTCTCTGTGGTGGAGAGCGAGTTTTCAGCTGGCCAGGAGGGGAGGAGGGTAAAGCAAGGGAGTGGGTAGAAACCACAGGTGGGTGAATAAGGAGAGAGTTACAGCTGCAGGAGCTGTAAGCCGCCTCCATAAAAATTCCAAGCTAGGGTGGTGCTCTGATTGTTTGGCACGGGGTAGATAGCTCATTGATCTGAGGCTCCCCTGGAATTATCCGCCTTGGTCCCCTAGGGGCAGGCAGGCTTCTTCTAATGTCCTCCGACTGGTGCCTGACCCAACAGGAAGTGTTTTGAACAAAGGAAGATGTTGATCAAACGCAGAGAGAGGGGAGTGGGGCATGGCTACCCAAGGGTTCAGAGGTAGGGAAGGCCAAGTGCGAGTGCACATGGAGGGAGGTGGGAGAGCTATTCCTGGACATGACCATGGCAGCCCTCAGGACTGCCCCTCAGGAACCCCCCAGGCTTTCTGGGCTTTTGTTTCTGAGCTCGACACCCCCCACCACCACACCCACACCCACCCCAGGACTGGAGCATGGCCGCCTCTGAGAGTTCCCTGACCATGATGCTGGCACAGGCCTCTCCAACACCTCTTGACTCACTACCCCACTTGATTTTCTGCTTTCCCACGGGGGTGGGAGCTTCGTGAGAGCAGGGACTTGTCCCTCTTGTTCAACGCTGTGTCCTCAGAGCCCAGAACAAACCCTGGTACAAAGTAAACGCTCCCCCAAATCCTGGAAGACTGAGTCGTTACGGACTTATGTTCATGTTATCTAGAGATAGCTGAAGGAGCCCTGGTGTAGTTACACGTGGGACTGCTAACCTCGAGGTCAGCAGCTCAAACCAACTAGCAGCTCCGAGGGAGAAAGATGAGGCTTTCTACTTGCATAAAGAGTTACAGTCGGATCCACTCAGAGGGGCCACGAGAAAGGATGAGTCAACCAGGGCGCAGTAAAGCACCGACGAAACACACCATATTCCTCTGTGGTTCCTCATGATTCATCACAGTAGCAAAATGACAGTGATGAAGTAGCAATGAAAATAATTGTATGGTTGGGGGGTCACCACCACATGAGGAACTGTCTGAAAGGGTCGTGGTATCAGGAAGGTTGAGAACCACTGCTCTGACATTCTCCCCTTCCCTGGGAAAACATGCCTCCCTTCTCCCTTCCTAGGAGCCTTGTCGGTGTAGTGGTTACTCATTGGGCTGCTAACTGCAAGGTCGCCAGTTTGAAACCATCAGCCAGCTGCTGCTTGGGAGAAAGACAGGACTCTACTCTCATCCACAGTGACAGTCTCGGAGATTCATGGTGGTGGTGGGGGGGGCGTGTTACCCGTCCTGTAGGGTCACTGTGAGTCAGCACTGACTCCAGGGCATGAGTTTGATGTCTGCGTTATCCTTTCTGATGTCGGGCCACAGCCAACTGTGGTTCCTTGGAGGCTGGGCCAGGCGTCAATGAATCTGGAGAGGCCGGCAAGGACTATCTGGAAAGATGGTTCTGGGCTTGGCATACCAGGCTGGTGAATTTTCATTTATTCTCTGTGGGCAGTAGGGGGCCCTCAAGGGTCCCTGCTGGGAGGAACATGTTCCTTCTCACCTCCCCCTTTACCTGTCTCCTCACGGCCTACTGGCCATAAGAGGGCAGCAGCGGGTGGCCTTCCCTGCATCTGAAAGCAGCCTGCCAACCCTCACGTTGAATGTGTCCTCCTAAGGCCCTCACCACTTTCACTTGCCCTCTTCTCCCTGCTTCTGATTGAATTAGCTGCACACGGTCAGGGGTCAGGTGCAGGCTGATCTCTGAGGATCGTCCAGGGGAGGGAAGGAAGAGGGGTGGGGCAGGGAAGGGAAAGGAAGTGGAGGGGGAAGGAGAGAAAGAAAAATAGAAGTAGAAAGGAGAAAGAGCTGAATTTTTTTTTTTTAGTGAAAGAATTGAGAATGAAATGTTCCCAGTCCGAGCTGGGAGGCAAAGGGCATTTATAGAGGTCTAGATAAAGACATGTACATATGCAAATATATTTATACATGAGAAGGGGGAAATCTATGTGCATATATTTATAGGTTTAGTATTAAGGTAGCAGAAGGACATAGGGCCTCCACTCAAGTACTCCCTCAACACAAAAATACTTTCTTCTATTAAATTGGCATTCTATGATGCTCACCTTCCCGACACAACCGCTGAA